ATGTGTGTGTTTGCGTGTGTGTATGTGTTTAATGTAATGCCACTGGAGCTGCAGCCCTCATTGGGGCTAGCTGTGTTAAGCTGAAATGTTATTATTGATTACACACAGAGGTTGTGATGGAAAAGCAACAGCCAGGGAATGAGCCCAGCTCCAGGTGCGTGCATGTTTATGTATATGTATGCGTGCGTGTGTGCGTGTAGGTGTGAATGCGGATGTATATGTGAGCCACAGCTATGCTGTCCGTCAGCCTCTTGCTAATCCATTATGGTGGTGGTGGTGGTGGGGGGCAATGGCACAGGGAAATAACCAGTGAGAGGGGAAGAACAGTATTTGAGGGTGAGGTGATGTTTGTTGTGTTTTTGAACATCCTGTGAGCCTTTCTTAGATTTTGCAAGTATATATTTTTAAGAAAGGTCCCTTTTCCTACTTGCTCTCTAGCTCTTTCTGTCCTTGTCACATGTAATCAATTAAAAATGCTTATGTCATCTACACGCATATGCAGTAAATTCATAAAACTACATACAGTACTTAGAATTACACATGTAAGAGCATATACAAGCCCCTTTTCACTCTGTCTTTCTGCCTTTCCTTCACAGACACCTGTGGTTACACACACACCAGCATACGTTCCCTCTCTCTCTCTCACACACACACACACTCTCCACCACAGTCCCTTTATGCGAGGCCTGCCTGGCACCCAACTGTGAGGCACTTTTAATTAGAGCCCTGCTGTTAAGCACAGACCTCCTCCAATGGTCCCATCCACTTCCCATCACCTCCTTCCTCCAACCCACACACCCTCCATTGCACACAGACCGCCGCTGTGCTCTCTTCACTCCTTGTCCTTTGAGACCTGAAGGCGTTAAACACTGTACCCAGAAGGCGAAGAAAATGCACGACTCCTTTCTCTAGCCCCTTTTAAGCTCGAATTCTTTAAACAGTCACATTAAACTGCGCCTATATAACTATGAAAGAACACTTACAAACATTGATGGTTTTTAAAAAAAATTGAATTTCATGGAATTTACTCTGTTCTGTTCGGTTTTGTTTCTGAATGAAAACGCTCTTTAGTCTGCCTGAAAAATGGACTTAGAGTGCTATCGGGTTTGTGAGCAGGGAAGATATGCAACACATGCACTCTTGTAACACAGTCAGCTGTGCAGCAATGCTCAAAATATTCCTGGAACTCAAGCTGCTCCATCACACTCATAACCTGCATTCTTCCATTTCCCTTTTTCAGCAAGGCCAAAGCCCTTCAGAGGAAATAAAAAAAAAAAAGAAGGAAAGAAAAACAAGTCTCTCACATTCATTGATTCTCTTCAGCATCTGGCTGCTATGATCAAAGGGCTATTGTGTTGGGGGGTCTGTTCTCTAAGCTGCTTTCATTAGGAACCTCCATAATCAGGCGTAAGTTGATTAGAAACAAAGCAGGTGGGATGATGCTACGTTGAGCCAGCACTGGAATTTCGAGCTAAACTTCGCAAAGCCTTTGCATTGTGTGTGTCACTCAGTCCCTGGCAGCAGAGGGGAGAAGGGGATTATAACCTCACAGCATACACATAATGCACGCTAACCTCAGTCAGAAATCTTTGGGCTGGGTAAGAGCGCAGCTCTGTTACAGCTTCAGAGGGAAAAATGAAGCAATAAGGAGGTCTGCTTATGACCTATTAAACCCAGTTTGCCAGCAGTAAATATGCCTCGAAAGGCCGCTGTCTGTACATTTGGAGGTAATTCGGGGGGAAAAGCGAGCGCTGCCTCCATCTGTGACAGCTCGTCTTCAGCTTGATGTGGGAAGACAGGTTGTTTAGGACCGTGGGGATTGAGGGATGGAGAAAGACCAGGGTGTGAGTGGTGGAGGAGGTGGAGGAGAAAGGCTGCAGCTGTTGTTGTGTGTAGTTTAGATTTGGTCTGCTGTGGGTTGGCAGAAATCACAGCAGAGCCAGAGAGGCAGCGACCGATATATAGATAGATAATTTCACCTCTTCCTTCCAGCTTCCTCACCTCGCTTTATGTGCTAAAGGCCCCCTTTAAGCCCGGGGATTTAGCATAAAAGGCAGAAACAAAGCGGCGTCTCAAAGCCACCTTGTGTTTCCTCCACCTTCTGTGTAGCAAATGTCGCTGCACTGAGAATCCTCCGCTGTCTGCCTCTGTATCGACCTTTCGTCTTCCTCAGAGGAACATAGAGCCGGCTCCTGCTAGGGCCCTTTTCCTTCTGTTCATGGGGTGGGAGTTTTTTTTTTTATTATGATTGTTTTTAAAGATTTTTTTCCCCTCGCTCTCCCTCTGTCTCACTCTTTGCCCAGGGTTGCGGATATTGCCAAAAGGAGAGAGGAAAGAAGAAGAAAAAAAGGCAGGGAGGGGAGAGAAGGAAAAAAAAGCAGGGTAGAAAGAGAAGTTATTTTGCTGAAGGACATTTGCAGAGGCTGCTTTTAACACCCTCACCCCTCCTCTCCCTCCTCACTCCTTTTCCTCCATCCCTGCTTAAACACACTTCTCCCCTTTCTGCTCTTTAAATATTGAGAATCGTTGAAAATTCTTCTGGTCTCTGCCTTTAGACGCTACTGGCCTCCCAACAGCTCACCGGGCGAGATGTGTTTGGACGGGCTGAAAGGCCCCAGATTGCACAACCTCTCTGCCCCAACTCCAGGCCCCAGGAAACTGGTCAGAGCTCCGCTGGTTCCCAAGCTGCACCTCTTCCCCGACTCCCTGTGTTCTCTGTCTGAAGGCCAAGCTCCCCCTCTGGGCTGGCTTTGGCTGCTCATTTCCACAGTAACAGGGGGCAACTCTCCACAGACTTGGCTTTGTAACCTACACCAACATGCTTTTGTGCAAACACACACACACGCAGCTGAAGCAGACTGCAAGTTTGTAAGAGTCACTGTACTCATTACCTCTCACTGCCCAGCTCACACACATCTCTGATTTTCTTTCTCTGGCTGCATTATAGATGCTATTTAAGATTTTGCTAACTAGTAGGGTGCGGACGCCTGTGTTGTGGGCCGCTCCAAAATGAACCACTGCCTGAGTTTTGATGTGAATAAGAGCTTTTCTCGAATGCTGCATTCCTCAGCGTATGCGACTATTGTGGTTGTTGTATCTCTAAAAGGAAAACAGTTAATAGCTGCTAAGTAAAGCCAAAGCTGTAAAAATCTTAAGTGTATCTGGGCTAACTGTTGGTCAAAGCACAGCTGGAAACCAACCCCCCACATATCAAAAAGCAAGAGCTGCAGACTGAGATCATAGACATGTTACTGCTTAACAGTCCACTTTATGGGACTGGCTGTCTTTGTGTTTTAATGAGGAGGCCATGGACAAGTGGAAAGGAGAGGAGAAAGATGGAGGGGTGGTGAGGGTTGTAAGGGAAGATGAGTGATTAGAAAAGACTGAGAAAGAATAAAGGATGGAGTGTTTGGAAGAGGTTATCGTGAGGTTTAGTGTCCCCTTTCTCTCTCCACGTCTAATTAGGAGTGAAAGAAGGGGTTGCCGGGTCCTCCTTTAAGTGCTGCTTTTAATTTTTCACATCACATCCTGATGATTTTCTTCTCTTCTCTTCTCTTCTCTTCTCTTCTCTTCTCTTCTCTTCTCTTCTCAAATCTCTCTTAAGTCAAATGACCGGTTTGTTTTTCTTTGTTTTATTTTATAGCCTCCAGAAATAAAATCGACACTCTTTCTTCAGGATATGTTAGTTGAGCAGGGCCTTAAATTGGCAACAAACTTGGACATGTGTGTGTGTGTGTGTGTGTGTGTGTGTGTGTGTGTGTGTGTGTGTGTGTGTGTGTCTCATTCCTCTGAAAAGTGTTTTGAGCCTCCGGTGCACTGGCATGAGATTGGCAGTTTGCTGTGTGCTGATAAAGTCAACGTCTGTGCGTGTGTGTGTGTGTGTG